TAGAAAAGTAAGTCTTCCTGCCCAAAGGTGGTGGGGGGGAAAAGAACAGGAAAAAAGACTGTGTGCATGGCCTGGATGCTAATGGACCTTCTCTGCAGCACATAGTCAGGTCTTTAAGGCCCCAGGGAGATTTAAACAGGTGAAGGTTTCATTCCAGAACTGTATGTACTCTGTTAACAGACAGGGATCTCCCTGCCTTCTCTAGTGGTGAGCAGGAAGAAAGTGAATTAAGAGCAAAATCTGAAATTCTTACATCTTCAGATGAATGCAGATGCTCAATGGTCTTCCACACAACTTTGTCCTGTGGGGTCCTGGTCCTGCTGAGACCACCAGAGACTTTCCGAGGAAACTGGTCCCATCAGGTAGCTACCTAAGAGAGGAGAAAAGCAAAAGCCAGAACCATGTGGAATGCCAAGCACTGCTCTGTAATACTGCATTTGCCTTCTCTGGGTTCATTATGCTCCATGGTCCCTGCCCAGGTGGACACATCTCTGTTTGTAGGTGTCTGTTGGAGAGCTGGCCCCCTTTCAGCCGAGCAGGACAAGCCGTGCATCTAAAATAAGTCAGGGTGCTTTACGACGGCTGGTAAAAATAAAGCCTTACTAGCTCAAGCAGCTATAACAGCACAGAGGATTTACAACCGAGTGGGGTTTTTATTTCCAGGGTGGGCTGGCCACAGTCTGGTGATGGCCTTTTTATAACCGTTATCAGCTCCCGCACAGACCAGGTCCATCTGTTACTTAATTTGAGTGGAGACACTCCTAAGCTTTTGTTTGCTAATCTCTGGCTGCACATCTACATTGTTCTCTTGCCTGGGCAGCCCACCCCAGAGTCAGGCTTGGCTTGCTGATCTCAGTCAGGCTTGGCTTGCTGATCTCGGGAAAACTGGAATAAAAGAAAGGTCACTCGACCAGTGTGGGCCACCTGTACCAGCTTGAGGGGGCTTTTAACCTGCAATTTGGGTGCCAGAGCAAAAATAAAGCCAGCTCCTTGGGCTGGAGGGGAGGGTTGAAAGTTAAGGCTGAGTGGTTACAAGGCAAAGCCCCACTGACCGCATCTAATGGCATAGGCTGGGTTTTTTCAACCAGATTTACGTGACCTGTCACTTAGAGAGACACCTAAAAATGCAAATGAGGATCAATAGGGTGCCTAATTCCCACAGAAATTGGGTAAGAATGAGGTATGCCATTCATTCCCTGCCCACGCATTTATGCTCCCTTCATAAATCCAGTCTTTCTATATCACAGTTGCATTTAAGTCCCTTAAGCTATTCTCAAGACCTCAATGAAGGGACAGGTGGACAAAAAAACCCCCAAAATCCTACCAGAGCCAGAACGGGTTAGGCACTTTTGGGTATCTTGTTCCTACACCATGCTGTGTTGTCTGTCCTAGACCACCTTGTCTACACTGGCATGACTTGTGTTGTCAAATCACAGAATCTTCTAGGTTGGAAGGGACCTTAAAGATCATCTTGTCCAACCATCAACCTAACTGACAAAAATAGACACCCACACAACAAACAAGGAGCATCATCACTAAACCATACCTCCCAGCACTACATCAACCCCTCTTTTGAACACCTCCAGGGATGGTGCCTCAACCACCTCCCTGGGCAGCCCATTCCAATGTCTGATAACCCTTTCAGTGAAAAAATTGTTCCTAATATCCAGCTTGAACCTACCCTGAATGACAGAGAGATGCACTGGGGACAGAGAGGAGGGAGGATAAAGAGCCTGAGAGACAAAGGGATGGATGTTTCGGGGTGCAGAGGGTGGGATGTTTCTGAAAGTTAGGGATTACAGCAATTTCCTCAGAATCAGCCTGGCCAAGGGCAGAGACCTGGCCTCCCTTTTCCTTGCCTTATCCAGTCCAGCACCATGTGGCTTGGCTCTGCTCTTCGGCGGGAGGTTTCTCACACATTTAACAGTTGGCTTCCTCCGTACCGCACACACACACACACCACTTCTAAGGCAGGGACAGTCCCGGGGTCAGCCGGGCTGCCCTTAAGAACAGTCCTCATCTCATTCCTGCTGCTCCGATGGCTTTTGCTGTCCTGGTCACTGTTTCCATCGAGGATTGCTGCTCCGGGGGCCATCTCCAAACGGGGCAGCCCTCACCGTGCTGAGGGGCAGAGGGTCCCGCTGACATGTTTCTAACACCTATCGATATATAATTCTCACTCAGTTCCACTCCTGCTAGGCAGAGTAACCCCATCCCAAAAGTGAAGAGGCTTAAGGAGATGTGTGGTTTATAGCAGCATTCCCACACGGCTTAGATGCGCTTTGATTTGCAATTCAAAGTGATGGCTTAGGGATGACGGACACCTCAAGCAAGGCATATTTTTGTTGCTTTAGTGGGGAGGTGTTTAAATACAGCTGCGTGGTTTTGTACTGCTTGTGCCTGACAGTGTATTAACTAAAATTCCCCTATCATATAACTGCAGTATTTATTATATAGAGTGATGCTGCAGCACAGACTGTTGGCAGCAACTTATTTGAGCTGTTTCCTGGTCATCCTTCTTACCTTGCCTATAATACTTTAGGAATACTTCAAATACTTCCTCTTCAAATGTCTGCCAAGGGGTCTCAAACGGAGAAGAGATTGGGATGGAAGGAGAGGATAGGTCAGGCTTTACCTTAAAGTCGGTACGGAGAGAGAAAGTTTAACATGGTCTAGTTGTCTATAAAGCTGCTAGGTTTTTTTTCCTGAAACTGTAGTTTTGGTGTAGCATTTTAACATGATTCAGATAACATGAGTCACAGTAACAAGCATGGGCTGGATCTCTTTAGCTGAAAGAAGTGCCATAAAGAATATGCTGTAGACTTTGCTGCCTTGTCCTGGATTCTATTTTGGAGAAGTGATGGCATTTGGGATTCAACCATATGTCTGGCTGAGTCTCTGGTACATAAAGATCTGGTGGGTTTTGGGAGATGCAGCACATACAGATCTGGTAGGTTTTGGGAGATGTAGCACATACAGAGCTGGTAGGTGCATCTGTTGTGCCATAAATGCCACTCTGGCAAGGAACCTCTGTGCCCAGCTCTTCTCCAAACCCTGGGTGCCGAGGCCCTTGAAGTGAGATTTGCATAACACAAAATCTTCGCTGCTTATTTGCACCAGGCTGAAAGAGGCCTAAAGGAACATCTTTGGAACACTCTTTGTCAAAGTCACCGCTGATGATGATTTAACACACAAAATGAAGCAACCCAGAAGCGGGGGTCAGTGGCCTCGAGCAGATTCCTCCAGCCCCAGGGAGGCTGGTGAACCAGAGACACCCCAAAAGTAATGCTAAGAAGAGCCATAAAGGTGTTCTGCCCCTGCTTTGCAGTCCCTTGGGCTTTTGGTTGGCTCCCTGCGCAGCTGTAGCCTCCTTGGTATTTAGGACATGCTACTCGCAGCATTTGTGTGCCACACGCAGAAGAATAAATCTTAGCAGTGATTTAAGGAGCCACATTGATCTCTGCCCAGTCGATAGATGTAATAATGTCAGAGCCTCTCACATGGTCTCCAAGGGCTCGGCTTCTGTCTAAAATTTGTTGTCAGCCTGCCTCATGCCCAAGGGGTAGATCTAAATCTCTTACACTTCGTGGGTGGGAAAAAGCCCGCTGTGAACAATTTCCAAGCAGCGAGATGGGGCCGGGGTTTGATGGAGTCCCACCGGCTTGGGGTGAATAATTCCAGGGTCACAGCTCCTTCAGAGCAACACAACATTGTGGTGTTACCATCCCCACCTTCACCTGAACTTAGAGTGGAGCTACCTCAGATGTACTGCAGTAGGACTGCTGCCATCCTATCTGCTTGATGGGACACAATTTTTCTGAAAACGTATAAAACAGGAATGTTTAACAAAAAGTAAATGGGCGCATCAAGTTTCCTTTAAGGAATAAGGAACCTTTGCCACGTGCCTTTCCCTCCCCATCTTTCTCTAGCATTTCCAAAAGAAAGATTTACAGGAGGGTACTCACCAGACAGCCGTCTTCTTCCCCTCTTCTCTCTCTGGTCATCTGCTACTTCAGGTCTTGGAAAAAGGCTGTTTGTTTGTAGAAACATCTTTGAAGGCAGTTCCCCAATGAAGGAGGGTGCTGCCTCTGAAGAAAACACAACCCTCAGCTTCCCCCTTTTTGAAAACTGGGCCAAACACGTTATGAGAGCCACCTGTCCCAAGGAGGAAGCCAACCAGGATCTCCAGAGCTGATTGCTCGGGCCTGGGCCCTCAAGACCAAGTTCCCTTGGTTCCAGCTGCAGGAATCCCACAGCAGAAGCAATCAAATGCCCTCGTTTGCATGAAGTGCCCCAAGCTGTGCTTGAAAAAACGTGTCCCAAGATTTCAACAGGATTTTCCCAAGGTTATTTCTTGCCTTTCTGGTGACCAGCCCCTTCTGAGGCTCTGGGGTTCTGCTGGGATCAGTGAAATCTGTTTGTGTGAATGGGGCAGACAAACAAGATTTTCTCCCAAATAGCTCCATTATAGTCCAGAGCACTGTCATCTTAGTTCAATATTGGATTTCTCCCAAATGCTGCGTGAACGTCTCCAAGTGCAGAAAGGGAAGGGCTGGAAAGTTCCTGCTAAGAGCAGTTTTGGCTGGGCCAACTGTTAGTTTGCATCAGCTGGTGGCTTTTATGTGTGTAACGATTATTTTGTACACAAAAGCAGCTTCTGAATCTTGCCAAACTTCAGCTCTCCGCAGCGGACTCGGGGCTAATAAGGACCGAGAGCCAAGGCACTGAGGAAAGCGTCAGCATTTAACAAACAGCGAGGGATAAGAATCTGCGGAGAACATTTCAAAAATGCTGAAAGGGTTTTAGGTGTTCGAGGCCCCGGAGCTTTCAGTGGGAGGGATTTCGCAGCTCTCGGGTGTTTCTCAGCCTCCTGCCTGGCTCTCTTGTGCTGCCTCATCCACTCCACCAGAGGAATTTTGCCCCTGCACTGTCAGATTCTCTCTGTCCAAAAGCTTTCCAAACCCCGAAGGGCAGCACACAGGAATTTCCAGCTGTCTGTCATGATGCCGAAGATCCTTTCTTTCTCCACACCTCCCTTCAGCTGCCTTTTCTGCTTTCTGTTCAGGTTGGTTATGACTTTTTTTCCCTCTAAGACAGCCTTAACCTTTAGATACATCTCTTCTCTGGTCCCCGAGGTGCCACTTTCCATCGTCTTGACCTTGCTGTTTGATCAAGCGCCCAGGGAAGTCAATGGGCATCCTCTCTCCTAGCTTTCAACAAACTTCTGATGAGGTTCATAACAGCAACGTTGCATACGGGGCCATATCATACCCCTGTGCCTCGTTATCTGCCACCGACTGTAGGATGGATCCTTCTCCTTGGAAGACAGGGCTTTGGAGATGTGCTTTATGAATAGCAGAGTCTGAGGGAGAGGTGATGGGCTTTGCAACAACCAGAACAGCCGGTTCCAAAATATCCTCTCTGCTTCCTTTTCTTCCTCCTGTGCTGTGCTGGAAACTGCTGGCTCCTTTCCTTCTCCCTCCGGAGAGCTGTTTGTGAGTCTGGGTATCCAGTAGGCTTGGTACCTGCTCCGGGGAAATGCAGAGCAGAAAAGACACGGAAGGCAGATTTTTCAAACGGAAATAATACATGAAAGGGAAAAAATGACTGCATTAATTGGAAACATTTTAGTGCTCAGAATAAAGGGAAATGGGTTGTGGTACAAGGATGCCTTGCAGCGTTGCGCGATTGAGCTTTTGTCCCAGTGTCACCCTGGCTGGGGCTCTACCCAAAGCTCCTCGGTTTTCGCCTGAATTGCTGGCCTTTTGTGATTTACTACCTTGCGTTTTACATTTCCACGCTGAGTCTTAAAATACTCGAAGACATACAGCATGGGTTAGAGGCCTGGCCCATTCCATCTTGTAGGGACCAACCAGAACTCCCGAGGTTGATCTGCTTCCTGCCTTTTCCTCCTCATCAAACTAATTTGCCGAGTAATACTGTAACTCCTGCATTACCAGAATAAGAGTTCCTTTACCATTCTAAATAAGCATAAGGCACACGAGGAAATGGCTTGGGCTGGCGCTGGTTTCGTGCCATTATGTTAATCCTCCTCTTTAATTGCCACTTCTAACAATTAGATTTTCCTGTATTTACACCACAACTCCCAGATAAACTCGGGCCTGCTGGAGTGACATCAGTAGCCAGGAATGGGCTTTCTCCAGGGAAGTTAGTCCTTGTCACGGGCTGAGAAGATTCCTCAGCAGGCAGCGTGTTTCCAGCTGGGTGACTTATGAGCTGTGCTATTTCTTATTACCTTCTGTTTGTGTTTAGTTTTTTTTGGTTTTTTTTTTTTTTTTTTCCAGGCTGCAGACTCTTGGCCGTGGAACTGACATCCAGCAACACCAAGCCCGTGGTGCAGGAATTCCAGAGTGAGTGCCACGTGGCTGCACTGCCCTTTGCCTGGGGATTTGCACTGCTCCCAAAAAATCCAGAAAAATTGTACTTATTGCTCCTGGGATCTGGTTTCTCAGGGGGAGGGCAGGGCTACCCCAGAGCCCGGGATCCGGAAAAGCGCTTAAGAATATGTCTGTATCTCTCGCTGTTTAGCAAAGCACTTGATTGAAACGGTTTATTGAAGTCCTCTGCAAGCCATTGGCATTGCAAAGCGCCTGCCTAAGTGCTTTTTTGAACTGGATCCCAAAAGGAGGACAGGCGGTCGCCTTGCAATTAATATACTGAAAAAGGGGGTCGGGAAATTTATATTTTATCTTGGCCCCGGTACAGCCGTGCAGGGCCACACTGAGTAAGCCGCCTCTCAACCCCGCCGCGACGCCTTCCTCTGTAGAGGAGATGGAGATGACAGCGCCTGCTTCAAAGGGGCTGAATTTATCCCCAGGCGCCGTGGTCCTCAGTACATTGCCAGACACCACCCGGGGAGGTTCTGCATCCCTGACTCAACGCTGTAGGCTCTGATTAGCAACAAGACAGCGCTCCGGACTCACCCTGTCATAAGGTCTTGTTTGCCATGAGTTAGAGCCTGTAGAGAACAGTGTGTTCATTTCTCTCCATAGTTGATATCTGTTCGGCTATTATTTTTGCTGGCCGAAGTCCATCTTCCCCAATAGCTCCTGGAACCCAGCAGTGTTTCTGTTTGCGAGGCAGATGAAAGGGAAGGCTTTGCTTTGTGGGCAGCATCTCCTAATAAAACACTGCGCGAGGCCGCTTAAAGCAGAGCAAAAAAAAATACAGCTGCTTCCCATTAATCTGTCTTTCCTTTCTTTCTCCTGGTAGGTGTCGAGCTGTCCTGCATCATTAAATCCACCGTAACGCCAGATCCCAGAATCGAGTGGAAGAAAATCCGAGATGGCGAAACCTCTTACGTGTTTTTTGACAATAAAATGCAGGGTATGGAGATTCATTGTTCTCAGACTTCCAAAACAGCCTTGGAGACAATACAACTGAGAACAAGCAAGCCTGTAAAAGGCAGGACCTCGTGGCTGTCTTGCTGCTTTCTTCTAGAGCCGGGGGGTTCAGCAGTCACAGGGCAGGATGGAGAGGGAGCAGGATGTTCTCTGCCCTCATTACTGAGGGTTCACAGTAGGGAGCCACAAAGAGCTGGAGCAAGATCCTCTGTAGGAGATACTTCTCGGGAGAGAAAGCAAAGGCTACAGCTTCCCTTCTCCAGCACCCGGGGGTCCTCACGTGGTCCATGGGCGTCTGAGCTCTCAGGAGCAGACACCCACCCCTCCTGTCCATCCCTACGACATCTGAGGGCTCCACCTGCACTTCAGAAGGGGTCTCTGTCTTGAGCTGTCGGTGCTTTCTGCTGAGGCAGCACAGTGATCTCAGCATCCTGGGAGGAGCTGATTAGAAGCAGACTTATTAGCTTGATGGTGGCTCAAACACAGGACTTGACTCCACGTGCAATTACCCCACTTTCGATGCCACATCCAGATGAATCTCCCAAAGGAGACAAGAGCTGAGGCTGTCTTGGAAGTACAGTTTTGCCAGTTTTTGAGATTTGGGGTGGTGCTTTCCAGTTCATCCTCTTAGCATCTGGGGTGCTTAGCAGTGTTGCTGTCCTTTGTGGTCTCTGGGGAAAGGATGGCTCTTCACTTTCAAGCCTCAAGGTGGTTTTAGGTGGCTTTCTTGACTCCAGGAGGACTCCAAGATCAACCCCTTTAATTCAGACGCTGTGTGACTACCCTTAATTTTTTTCCTCTCTCTTTTTCCTCTGTATCAGGAGACTTTGCAACTCGTGCAGAAATTCTGAGCCGGACGTCGCTGGTGATTAAAAACACCACCCGGATGGACACCGCCACGTACCGCTGCGAAGTGGCCGCACCTTCTGATACCAAAACCATCGATGAGATCAACATCCAGCTCACGGTCCAAGGTATGCCCTTAAATCCAGACACCTCTGCCACCTAAGAGAAGAGGCTGTGGATGATCCCTCCAGACTCCAAACGGTGGCACGATGCAAATTGTTTAAAACCAGATGGAAAGAACGGAAAGTTTTTATACCTTTGTAGCACAAGCCATCTTCAAAAATCTCTCAGGAATTATTTACTTCTACCCAGCAGCACCATTCACGTGGTTTTTTGTCTTTTCCCCCAGTGAAACCCATGACTCCCAGGTGCACGGTGCCTAAAGCTGTACCTGTTGGCAAGTCGGCCTCTCTTCACTGCCACGAGAATGAAGGGTACCCAAAGTCCACCTACAGCTGGTACCGCAACAGCGAACCTCTGTCACCAGACACCAAATCCAACGCCAGATTCCACAATTCCTCCTACACTGTGAACCCCACCACAGGCACCCTGGTAATGCCAATCAAGACTTGTTCCGCTGGACAGGTCGTTTATAAAAGAAAAAAAAAGTCATTGCAAGGCTTTTAAGGAAGAATAATTGGAAGAAGGTTGGGCGTTCTAGGATCTGGGTGACTTGGGAACGGGAAGATGAGTGATGGAAGAAGGTATTAGCCGAGCTTTTTGGTTTCAATCACTGCCTTTTCTACCCACCAGGTTTTCCACGCCGTGCACAAAGGCGACACGGGCCGTTACTCTTGCATAGCGACGAACGACGCTGGCTTTGCCAAGTGTGAGGAGCAGGAGATGGAAGTCTGTGAGTGGCTCTACCTTCTTCTTGTTAATGCTGATCAATAGATCACCATAAATAAACTCTCATCACCACAGGGAAAGAAGGGGGACATCCTAGAGCGTTAAGTCTTTCCTGCTTTCTCATAGCCCCAAACACAGGAAGCAAAAAAACATCTAAGAATTCAGGGAAACATTAAAACACAGTTCAAATTCATCAACAGTTTTAGTCCTGGAATCTGGGACTCACAAGGTCCCTATGAATGATTGGGGTTTGCTTAAAATCTGTCATTTTAGTCTATGTAAAGCTAGAATATCGCTGCTGCCTTAAAGAAATGCTGGATGACGGCTTCTCTCTTTGCCAGATGACCTCAATATTGGTGGGATAATTGGTGGAGTCCTGGTGGTCCTAGCAGTTTTGGTGCTCATCACCCTCGGTATCTGCTGCGCCTACAGAAGGGGTTACTTTGCAAACAGCAAGGAGAGTGGGGAAAGGTAAGAGCTGGGATTCAAAGCAGTTTATACAAGCCCCTGCCCCACAGCTTGCACGAAGTAGCCTGCAGGGCAGCAGAAATTGGTGGATAAAATGTATTTCAGTGCCCGATTTGGACATATTTCTTCCTAATTCCCTACCAAAGACTGCGTGGGGACCAGCACAATTAAATCCCCATTAGGTGTTTGTCCAATAGGTTACGCGCGCTCGGCATAACGAGGTCTGCGATTTAATGAAGAGAGAGCTTGCTGCACAATTAGTTTAAAGCATCAGGACACGCATAGGAAATCTATGCAGAAGAGTGGGCTCTCTGCAGGAAATCTCAAACCTAAATTTGGGATTAAAAGCAACCATTTTAGAATGCACATTAAAACATTAAAAACAACAGCATTAGCATCAGAAACAAGCCTTGATGTCCTTACAGAATCTGAAGAAGAGATAATTTATGTAAAACCAAGCTTCTCACCACATAGATTTGTTCCGTGTTAAATGTTGCTTTTCAGCAAAAGTCCTGTCTTTTTTTTTTTTTGTTCAGTTTGGTTTGTTTTGCAGAAAAATCTCCAAATACCCTATTTAAATGCAGCTGGGGGTTGGCATACATGGGACTTGAGAGTGGTACATAAATCCTGAATTCCTGTGGCATTGCAAACAAGGAATAACTAAGGAAAATGCTGAAGGCACCTGGCAGCGAAAGTTTAAAATGAACTTTATAATAATTGCCAGAGGAAACAATGCAGGAGGGACACAGGAAGGTCGCACACAGGGACTGGAGCAGGAGAGCCCAGAAAGGAATCAGTTAAATCTCTTTGCAGAGTTAGTCTTGTGGAAACATTTTTTTTTTTTTTTTTTTTTTGGTCGGTTTGGTTTGTTTTGCAGAAAAGTCTCCAAATACCCTATTTAAATGCAGCTGGGGGTTGGCATACATGGGACTTGAGAGCGGTACATAAATCCTGAATTCCTATGGCATTGCAAACAAGGAATAACTAAGGAAAATGCTGAAGGCACCTGGCAGCGAAAGTTTAAAATGAACTTTATAATAATTGCCAGAGGAAACAATGCAGGAGGGACACAGGAAGGTCGCACACAGGGACTGGAGCAGGAGAGCCCAGAAAGGAATCAGTTAAATCTCTTTGCAGAGTTAGTCTTGTGGAAACATACAGCGGATTTTTTTTTTTTTTCCCTTGTGCTGAGGGGGATTTTAGAAAACAAATCCCAGTCCTGACGGATGATGGGATAAGCACAGGTCTATCGTTTGAGCAATGGGCTGGGCTTTGCTCTGCTTTCAGCTGCTCTTCCTCATTTTTCATCTTCCTCAGCACCTCCCCTCCAAAATCCCGCAGTCTTCTTGTCCCAGAAACGAGCTCTTTCCCTTTATTTCAGCTACAAGGCTCCGGCGAAACCTGACGGCGTTAACTATATCCGGACAGATGATGAGGTAACGAGCCATTTGCATTTAACATCTCTCTGTTGAGGAGAGGAGGAGGGTGGGCAGAGGACAACTAGCTTTTTTAGGGCCTGCAGACTTTCTTCGAGTGGGCACCGCTCAGAAGCAAGGATGCAGAAGAGAGAGAACACAGAAGGGCGAGGGCTGAGTCATTTCCTTAGGAATGATGAAGAGTTTAAGTTGCCTGAAGTGACTGATGCCAAGAGCGATCAAAAGCAGCTCTGCGCTGTCTCAGTTATCTTATGGCTTGACCCCCTTAGGATGAGTTTCATTGGATTAAGTGGGGCCCAGCCATGATGCTTTTACCAGAGAATTTGCATTTTGGGATTTGATAAGATCACAGAGCTTAAGATCAGAAAAAGCCTCTCCCTATTAGCAGAGATACTGAGGAGAGGATGAGAAAGTCCCCGGCCATGGCTTCTTAGTGTGTGAGGAGGACAGGAGAAGGAGGGCCTGGTCAGTATGACTGGAGTCTCCCAACCCTTCCCAGCTGGAAGTAGGGGCCACCTCAACCAAACGCCAGAAGTTACAGAGATCAGACCTACTTTTCACAGGCACCTTGCAGCGTGGGGGGAAGCAGGGACAAAGCCAGGAGATCCTTCATCCATCCAGAACTGTTTTGTTGCAGGGGGACTTCAGACACAAGTCTTCTTTCGTCATATAAGACGCCAGAAGAATATTGCAAACCAGCAAAAGCAAGTGTGAAAAATACCTCCTCCAGAAACTCAAAGCAAGAGCAAAGGATGAATTAAGTGCGCTTGGAAGAGTTTGGAACACACAAGAACTTGATAGCTAGCTATCTGTATATCTTTTTTTTCTTTGCCAAAGTTTAAAGTAACTCCTCACTGCCCAACTTGCGTCTCCCCTGCCTCCGGAGATACCAACAGGACATCACCTAAACTTCTCCTTGGACTGACTGAGGAAGCGTTTTAATGCTTCCCAAGAGACTGGGCTGTGGAAGTTTGTGGAATTGCCTTCTATTTGCGCTGCAGGGACACAGCTACGATGTGCAAACCAACCAGGGGAACAACAGCGTTAGGTAAACGTGTAGCAGACCTTACTAGTAGAAATTACTAGTAGACCAAAAAAAAAAAAAAAAAAAAAAGTGAAAAAGTGCTGATACAGCAATAGATGGACTTGAAAATAAGAGTTAGCCATGCAAGGGGAGGGGGGGGTCTTCCTCTCAGCAGCTTGTTGCCCAGGCCTGGCTGGTGACTTTTACACATTTGTGATTGTTTTGTGCTTTAGACTCTGACTGCTCAGGTGCAGAAGGGGGTATCTGAACAGCCCACGGCGACAGGTACCCGTAGGGTAAATGCAACTAATGTTCTCAGCCCTTTCCTAAACTTACTGAATCCTCCTGACTCCACTGAACGCGAAACACGGGCAGCGTCAGGCCGGAAGGATCGCTTCTGTTCCCTGCTTCCTAAAAAACTCATTGCACGCAGGTAACCCCTCCTTCTAATCTCTTGCGTCTTTTGGGGGTTTTCAAGAGGCTTAAGAGTGGAGGCAGAGAACTTAGTGCTAAGACATCCCCCTTTTCAGGAAAATTCAAGCCAAATACTTCCACGGGCTAAGATCGCCACGTAAAAGGTACTGAGATATCTTCAAACTTTTTTTACCTTTGCCATTTATTTTGTAAAATCCCACCTCCTAAAATTTTTTGCAAAGATATATTTTGATTACTTCAGAAGAGGCAAACGTTTCTATTTAAAGTGTAAATACGCGATGCCAGCAGTGTTTAAGTAACGTAGCTATTTTTTTACTTGTGAAGCTACAGAGAGGAGCTCAAATGTTGCTAGAGTACGGCACTGTCAGAGCATATCAGTATTATTACAAAGTGTAATAAAAAAACTGCAGGTGGAACAGAATCTCCTTCCTCCTCAGCAATTTCCTTGTCACAAGAGGTCTTACCAGACACAGAACAGAGTCACTCAGGGATAGTTTTTGTAAATTTATGGCAGGAGCCATCAACTTTTTTTATACAAAAAAACCCGTCACTTTTCTTGCCAGTGACCAACACTTTTGTTTTTTGTCGTCGCAAGAAATATCCAGGGATGGCTTTTGGATTCAGTTGATAAGGTGACAGAGTGACTTCAATGTTTGCTCCCCCTCTGCGCTAAGGCGGTGTGTGACGGCTGCGGCAACTTTGGGTTTAAACCCTATAGCCAAGGTTCTGGAGCTGGGCAAGTGAAAGCTCAAGACAAAAGCCCTTTTGTAGTGTCAGTTGCAACTTTCTCCCTAGATGGTAAAAGAAAAAAGACAAGAAAACAAAATCGAGTTCTCTTGGCTTTAGAGAGAGAATAATTGGAAACATGTGTTTCCCCAGAACATACACGTTGATAGCGTTGAACGGCGTTGGGTAATTTAAGACTGCAAGATGCGGATGCAACACTAGAACTGTGCTGTGGTTTAAGGTTTTTTTTTATTTTTTTTTTTTTTTTTTTTTAACGTAGCATAATTAAGTGTTCTTGTACTTCCGATATGAATTGAGTTGTCTTAACTTTTCCTGTATACAGTATTTTGGATACTTGACGATTTGGACTGTCAGTGTTGGGTTTTTTTTTTTTTTTTAGTGTTCTGCATTACTCTGCTTTGTTTCCTCGGGGCCTCGCTCGACATGCCATTGCTGCATTTGTTTTGCCTAAACAAAGCGTTACCACTTCTCCTTCTGCTAATAAGAGTGAAAATAAGGAGGGGGCAGCAATAACCTGTATAACTTGGACATTACCACTGCTACCTTGACATTATGGTTACCTTAAGATACGCTCTTCAGCCAAGCCATACTGTTCACTGGCTGCCTCTAATCATTAGGACAGTAACGAGCGTAACATTCCTTTGCACCTCCTGTCTTTCCACTACTCCTTTTCTACGCTGCTTTTAGGATACCTGCAATATGGCAGAGAAAGAGAAGGTTTGAATCAGGGTAGCTCTGGGCACGACGGGAGCACAATCTACAGTCTCACCACGAGCCAAAGGCAGCCTTCACAGGAAAAGCCAGCAAACCAAGAATCCAGGCTTATTTTTTTCCGCTTCTAAAATGTGACAGTGGCATCTCTAACGAGAGAGGGGGAGATGGTCCCCCCCCATACAGCTGATGAGATCTGACTGATGGAATTCCTTGTATCATTGTGAATAATATTCAGGTTTGTACTAATGTATTACATTTAACTTTGCCAAGAATGTTTTACATAAATACCAAGCTATAAAGCATTCTCGTAGGGTTTTTTCTTTGGTTTTGAACAGCCATATTATTGGAGGTTTCTGGTTTCAGTTTAGTGAAATAAGGGAAGGTCTCTTCTGTCAGAGACAGAGACCTGTATTGGGTTGAAGGTTACAGAAAATCCAAGGAACGTTGCTGTTTATCAGTTTTTTCTTGGACATCAGTCTGTCTCTATCTCTCTATCTCTAGAGAAGACAAAGTAAAGCTCATCTCAATACTGCTCAAGAACTAGAAAAGCACCAGTTAGAAAAGAAACTATTTCAATTTACCATTCAGAGTTTAAATAATATTTTAAGGGAGGAGAGAAGGCACAAAATAAATAGATGTGGCCATAATTGAGCATCGCTTAAGCCAAAGCCGTTCCATACCTTCCCTGTTCCCAGGTTTTCCCTTTGATTTTGAGAATAAAGTTTAATCTCCCTTGAAGGTTTCTCTGATCTTCAAAACTGAATAGGGAAAGTGAGGCCAAATCATGGGATTCCGGAGCAGGAGGTAAGTGCCTCTGGAAGGGCTGAGCCAAAAGCACGCTCGGCCTCTTTGTTTCTGCTTGTGAAGAAAAGCCTTCCCCGTTTCCGTTGTTCTTGCCTGAATAAGAGAAACCAGCATGAATAAAACAGATTCCATTTTCAAGTTTCAATCATATCTAGGGCAAGAGCTCTGGAATGGAAGTTAACAATGGGGAAAACCTGTGTTAGGTTCACACGGTGTCAGAGGGAGTCGGGAATGGTCAGATTCCCACATTTCCACATTTAGGATAAATAAGTTACCTGCGCAGAGCACAAAGCCATGTATGGGACTTACCAACCTTGATTTTAGTGAGTTACTCATATCCTGCTTGTAGTCAAATAAGAGTCTATATTTAAAAGCTGCTGGGTCCTACATTAATTGAACTGAATTAATTGAACTGAATTAATTGAACTAAGATACCAGCAGTGGAGTAGAAGAGACTTTGAGGCTGTAGAAATCTATAGAAAAAAAATAATTTCTCTGTCAGATCAAGATGAGGGGAGAAGCCGTGGGTGGAATTAATTCTGGAACCATTTATTTTCATAAAATGTTAATAGTTGGAAATAACATAGTTGAAGAATGGAAGTATTCCATCTAAAAACATGAAGGTTGTTCATACACAGGGGAGAACGCACAACAAACAGGAGGTGATGTAGCGTGCAATTACCAGATTTGGGGGGTGTGGCAGCCACAAGCTGGTTTTACCTTGGCTCAAATTAAAGCAACTTTAGTATGTAAGCAAGAGGGACAATGAGGGATGGAGTGAATAAGCTGAGCCACTCAATTCCCTGCAAGCTGTGATAAATGCATTTATTGCTGAGCTTGGGGCAACATCATGCTCTTACTTTTCCAAATGGACAAATTATACATCCTGTGAGCGAAGAGCAAACCTCCCTTTATGCTGCGGCTTTCGTCAACAGCAGCAGCTTATAATACATACATATATTAATACGGGCTTTGTATGCCCATATTCTAGGCAGTATCACATAAAAACCAGATAGGAATAGATAAGGCAGGCAGGCCGTGTGCCCGCAGTGATTTATAATTACAGAGGAAAAGGACAGATTTCAGGCAACACGATGCTTCTGTACAGAAGTTCAATGAAAGGCTCAGTTGTCTGGTTTCAGTGGAGTTCTCCGCTGGGACCGCCTCAGAGGAACACATTGGCTGCTTTTTTTCCTTGCTGGGGATTCGACTTTCCACTCCCGTGGCAGGGACGGGCTGGAAAAAGGAAGCAGAAGGACCATTTATTTTAAAAAGCACTTGAGCAATCCTTCTCACTGCCATTGCTCTTTCAGACCCGGGTTGAACTTACGGTTTCTCGGGTGATAGCAAGCAGATAATATCTCTTGGCAGATCCTCAGCCGCTTTATTCTCTGCAAATAATGCATATATTTTCATATTTTAAAAAAACGTCACAGATTTGATCATTT